CAAAGCAATTATTGTTAATCTTACGATGAATAATCGAATTCATTGTGAGAGTGGAGCTGACATTTCCATCTTAAATTGCATTATTTAAATTTATGATAAGCATGTACCTTGAGTATTACTAGTAATTGAATAATAATATTAAAAATATGTAATAAGACTTGGAGTATACGTGTTTTTATCTTTATTAGATGTAGAATTTTACTCTTAAGAGAATGTCCATGCACAATCACATTAATTTTTTAGAAGTTCTTAACCAATACGACATATTGCCTCCATGACAAATGTATTTATTAACGATTATAAAAGATAATCAATGCTCAATCGAATGGATACTAATAACTCCTAGTACCAATTAATGGGAAAGACACGTAGATTAGTCCAAATATCAAATTTTAACTATACAATTTTTAGGATCCACAACTTTTATCTACTTTTAAACCACGTATTCCTTGAAATTCACTGTTTACAAACATTAAAAAATTTAGCGAAGCAAGCACATAGCGTTGTTACACACTAAATGGTGAAATACAAGAAAAACCAGTCTCTATATTCCATATCTTTAATTCTCTAGATCGTATCAGAGCCAAAATACTCTTATGAGTAGCTCCTCCTATCCCCTCTCTCATCCAAATAAATGCTACCGCACAAATAATTTTCCATCCCACTCCTCAATTTTTCTTCATGGGAAGCACACTTTCATTATCTTCTTTAACTCTAGGCCCATATCGAAATCTAGATTTTAATCACATATTTTATGAGATTCATAATTTCTCAATAACACATTTCATCAAATTTTATCAAAATCTATTAAAAATGTGATTTTAATCCCCACCAAACAACCCCCTAGGTCTTAATGTATTGACATTACATTATTCCCTTAACAAAGTCACCAATGATGGCATTTCTTCTCCTAACAGTCCATCCTCTATGAATGCGTCAAGATAAACTCATCATCCATGCTAACATCGCATCTCTCTCTGAATCCATTGTTGTCATTTTCCTCTAGTGTTCATGATGCTTGGAGGCATCTAATTCGTGTTTTCTCCATCTCGTATTATTCATTTCAAAGACCAATTATTCAAAGCTAATTAGCTGTGGAATTTCTTCTCAAGATTAAAAATGTTGATGAATTAACAATCCCTCCACCGGAATTAATGGATTGTTGACTTGAGCATGTCCCATCACATCAATTCCAATCTCAATAATTCATCCATTCACCAGTATTATGAAGGTTTAGATGATATTGTTCTTGGTAATGGTACAAGTTTGCCAATTACACAGTTTTTATTTATCTCTTCATCAGTTTATGGTTTTTAAGTTCTTTGGGTTCCTTCTATGAAAAATATACTTGTTTCTCAATTCATTAAATCTAATTGTGCCTCTATTGGATTCTTTCCCTCTAATTCTTTTGCAAAGGATCATCTATACACGGAGCGCCAATCATTTGCGGACCAAACAACCATATCTTTATGAGTGGTCATCTTCCGTGACCGACTCCTGGGTATGATGAGATCTCCGGCTATGTGGCACGGTCTTCTTGGTCACCCAGACGTTAAGACAGCTAAACTCTTCTGGTGCCCCTCGGGACATAGTTCAGTGGTGCAAAGGACAGGAGTGATGTTATCTCACGCCTTGCTGGCAGCCGCAGCGTGGGAGTCCGATTCCTAAGATATGGAATTTGACTCTTTGTAGGTGCAGTGTACAGACAGTTTTTGTTCCCTGACTTGTTGGGGCACATCCCGCGATTTATCTCCCTCACAAAGCTTTAGAGACAGGGCGATTGGGGGGCTTCAAGGTTGGGGTTCAACCTTTTTAACTAAACTCTTCTGGTTCCAGTTCCATGTTTGAGTTCTGTCAATGTAATGAAAGCCATCAATTTCAATGTGGCATATCTAGTCTTTAGACTCGGGCTCCTTTAGACCCATATATACTGATGTTCAAAATCCAAGTCCAGTCAAATCATTTGATGATTTTTTTTTTACCGATAAATGTAAATATCATTGATAAAAAATGTTCCATATACAAGTACACCGGGCATTTCCGGACGAATCAAAAGCCAATGTCACATACAATTACTCCGGGCATACCCGGGAGAGACAAAAGAAAGTGAAATGCAAAAAAGATCAATGACCCGATGTCAAGGATTCGAAACGGATCAAGACATCCGGATACAAGGTAAACATAACTTTGTATACGTGTGTCTTAATCCGTCTCACAATGCAATCCAAGTCTGGTGAGAGGTTTTCGAAAATCTTCCTATTCCTATTCGATGATTTTTTAGTACTATGTTATCTGAGTCGACACTATACTAAGCCCTTGTTTGACAACAATTAAAAAGAGATTTTTTAGAAAAATGAGTTTTCGAATAGTGAAATTTTGGAGAATGTGTGATTTAAAAGTAGGAAAAAATTTTGAATTTACGTATAAAATATTTTATTGTGAAAATGTGTGGTTGAAAATAAATTTGAGAAAAAAGAATTTTTAAAAAATGGTCGTGGTTTAAACGCTTTTGATTTTATCCCTCTTATTAAATATAAAATTTGACATAATGTTTTCCCACTCAATCTATGTCCCCCGTCTCCTTGGTTGTGACCTGGTCGATACTGCTCGCTCCACTATTAAAATTAGGCACCTCAACTTTGGATGTTACTGTACCTACGGCTGCCAATACGCTCTTCAACGCCTTAAATGTCTTCTTAGAGAGCCCGAATTCATCACTTCAATTTCCCAATCACATCATGAGGTAGACTTTGCTACTTCCATTCCTCCACCCTCAGCTAATTCTTTGGTCCCCGATCCCACCTACAATATTCATCCCATGATAACACGCTCTAAAGAACACATGTATAAGCTAAAAATCGTCTACACTTCATCTACCCGCCACCACTACACAAATCCTTAGAACTCTTCATTTTTAATTGCACATTTTCCAAAAAAATTAATTTTCACGTTATTGTGTAATTTTTCCTTTCTTTTTAATCACATTCACCAAAAAACACATTTCAATGAATCACTTCTCAAAATAATCTTTATCGATCAAATGCCGAATGTCTTAATTGGTGCATGCCATGTCAGCTGAACTAACAACTCTTCTTCACAATCAAACATGGGAACCCGTCCCCCCAATCCCTCTAAAAATATGATGGATTGCAAATGAGTGTTTCGAATCAAACAAAACTCAAATGGCATAATCTCTTGTTACAAAGCATGCCTTGTAGGAAAGGGACATTGGTTTTGACTTATGTGACGTGTTAGAAATCTAGCAAAGATTATGTATGCTATGATACAACTGGCTAAGAATCGAGCTAGTGGTTGTGAAGAAATATTACATTGATACCAATTATTAACAATTTATCCAAGTAGTTGCGTGCGCTAATACCACTTGTTAGAGAATTGCAAAATATGACATAATATGAAGTAAAGATCACAGAACAAGAACATAAAGAATTAATGTGGAAAACACTACAGACAAAGAAAGGAAATTTTATTCATAAGGAGAGAAAAATACAAAGTTATATTCTAATTCTGCACAATGAAGTGCAAGACTTAATTCAAAGCCAACAATCATGTACAGTATATATAGGACTCAAAAGAATATATTATAGATAGAAAGAGGATAAAAAACGAGCCGGGGAAAAAGAAAACAATGTTTTTCGAAATAACACTGCAGCTCGAGCACCAGGAAGGTGGCACGCGACGCACGAGCGATAAAGCAAACGGTAAGGGACGGCACTCAAATGCCCCAAATGACACTCAGGTGCCTTGTTTTTGGTCCAAAATTCATTTCTTCTTGAATGGCGCCTAGGTGCCCAAATTGATGCTCCAAAAACTCCAATATCTAACTTTGATCCCTCTAATACGATTCGTCAAACGATCCATCAAAAAATCCAATATAGGTCAAAGTTCAACATGATGTACTAACGTTAGTCTTTAATCAAGATGAACATATTGACTTAATTGAAATAAAAATGCAAGTTTAATGTTCCTCTTTGAAACCAAGTGAAGCAGGGAGGTCAAAATGAAACTTCACTTGGTTGACTAAAAGTATTTTTGACCTTTAAAATTAGAATAATTCTAATTGTTTTCTTCATAGAATTTTTATAGATGTTGCAGTGGTAGCATTTGTGTTGATGTCTCTCTATTTTTTTATTTTTTTTTCAAACAAAAATTGCCAAATACCCCCTGTATAAATATTGTGGACCAAATCCTTTAAGTGTAACAAGGTTCTTAAAATGCCTCCCGGGGCATAATTCAATGGTGCAAAGGATAGGAGTGACGTAGTCTCAATCTTGTTGACAGTCGCAATGTGAGGATTCGATTCCTGATATATGGAATGTGACTTTTTGTGGGCACCAGTGTACGGGCAAACTCTTGTTCCCTGATCTGTTGGGACACATTTCACGACTTACTTTGCTTACGATGTTTTAAAGATGAGACGATAGGGACCCTCAAGGTTGGGGTTCAACCTTTAACAAGTTTCTTAAAATTAGTGATCTTATGTGTTATGGTGAGTTTGTCTATTAAAAAGGGTTTCAATCTAGGATTAGATCGTGTAATATTTGAGGATCAGCTTTATAAGTGGGTGTGGTCCATACTCTTGTCTGGGTGCCCAGTGGCATGATTGGGTGGTGAAAATGTTGTCTGCTCTGACATGGGCTAACACAGGGCTAGTATGCATGTCATCAGTCATTCATTTCACTACATGAGAATGGACGAATATGTGATGGGAATGGGGAAGTTATGGGTGTCCATTTCAGCAAGAAAAAAAGGCATTTTTGAGGTAACAAAAATCTCTAAAGAATCTTTCATACTTTATTTTATTTTTTAACTTGTGGATGGAGGATCAGTAAGAGGAATACATTAATAAAGACACTCATTTTTGTGTCCTGGTGGACTTGCACTTGCTTACTCTTTCTTGGCCTTTTCTTGCACTGTCTTATAGTGATTGCCTTTTTTATTCATCTCCAGTAGTTTGATGAGCCAACAAAAATAGTTTTATGTCTGTTAACGTTATTTGCTTTTTTCCTCTCTCTCTCTCTCTCTCCAATGATCTTATCTTCATCTGCCTCCTATTATCCTCTCTCCAGCTTGCACTACTCCATGTTCATGCCTCTCTCTCTCCTATTTCCCCTCACCAGTACTTATTATCCTTTCTTCTCCATATATGGTAAAACCTAGAATTCACACAAGTCTGTCTTGTCACCACTGAAGCCGAGGCCTGCAGTTTAAAGGTACTATTGAGGAGTATTCAATAAACGTATCTTCTTTTCTAGCCATAGCTTGTACCCATTATCTTGTATGCTTTTCAAGTACTACTAGGTCTCGTTTTATTGCTAATGAAGTATGATCCAGTACTGTAGATTCTTAAAACTTTTGTCAAGTTTTAATGGGTTTTGTCATGAATTATTGATTCTGTCAATTCGTTTCTTGAGTTGACAGTGGATCTTTGGATGTTACTTATATTTCTTGATTTTTTCCATGCCAAAGTTTATGATCTTGAGAATTTGTTAGGGTGACTTCAAGTTCAATTAATCTGTTGTTCATCTTGCTTCCGTTATGGGAATTTTTTTTGGGTTAGCAAGAATTTTGCTGCTTCTCCTTTGTGACTGATTCCATAAGTGCACAAAACCACAAAAAATGTTGCATTTATTTTCTTTTTACTTACTGTTAAAGTAGAAAGATATGTGCCTGCTTTTTTCCCATTATTTGTAGCGAAGTAAATGACAAAACAGGCAAGGGCTACATTTTTATCTGATATATTTTTTCCTATCTTCTCTATTTTTACTTTATGAATCAAATAATTTACTTGACATTTGATGCTTCTTGAAAAAAAAATTCTGGTATTTTATTTTATTTACTGTCATTCAAGTTATCATTTCCAACTCTATTCTGGTTCCACGAACGAAATGGTGCACACGTCGTGCCTTGGATGAAAAATGAAAAGGACTTTGCTATTTGTACATCCGGGTTGACTCCCCGGATGGGGTATTTTTAAGTAAATAAGTTTGTTCTTTACTAGACACTTGAGCAACTATTAGACGAACATATTGTTCACATATTATTTTTATTATGCCATTGTCGAGTTTAATACGAACATAGAAATAGTTTCAATCACCAAGAGCTGTTCATAATTTATGTCCTTGTTTGAAATGCATTTTTGAGATATGCCTTTACTTATACTTGATTTAGTATGGATTTCTTTTCATTTCTATAATTTAGAGAATTATGTGGGATTATTTTACTCAAGTATTCAAAACAATGATTTAATGCTCAAGATGATCCATTTTGGTTAGACATTTTATGAGTTTCAGTCTACTATCTCAACTAAGAGTATCTGATCCCTGTGTTAATTTCACATAGTAGATTACATGGAACTTAGATGATGATGTGTTCTTGAGAATGTCTTATTTGAAAGCCTTTTCGAGCCACAAGCACCTCTTTGAATGATGTTTGAATGTGTGATATAACTTCAGCAAACCGTCTTATAACTTGAAACAAATGTGTAAACAACTAAACTGAACTCCTAAGATAAACCGCTCCTAGATTTTGATATTTCATTCTGATTGAGGACATCTGCAGAACTGCCGAACTTGGAAAATTTTTGTCTCTTCATTGCCAAACTCTGAATTGAACAATTTTCAAAATTGATAAAATCTTCTATGCTAAACTCTAGTGGTCAGAGGTCCTAACCAAAGTTCAAATTATTTAGAACCCCAGGCTATGCGGGAAAAGTGTTTGTGTTGTTGGATGATGAGGTATAGTAACCCTCCAATTGGTTGAGTAAACTTCAGTGTGCAGCAGAAGCTCTAAGCAATTTTTTCTGTGGTGGAGAACTTGAGATTTTCAGTATCTCTGAGTCTCTGTATATAAAAAGTCCTTACCTGGCATGGTCATGAGTTATGGTACTCATGATCTGTTCATCTCTAAGCTCTGCGTGATAGTCATTAATTGTACTGGAAAAGCAATGGCTTATCGACCAGCCCACTTACTCGATTGAGGGACACGTCTCAACTCTGGTAATTGCCTTCAAATGAGATTGCTGTCTTTTTATAAAGCTTCTGTGAATGAAATTTTCTTAGTTACGATGTCTTCTCCGTAGTCTACGGATTCTTATTGGCTATTGCCACTTACTTTCTTGAATCTTAAAATTGTGCATGATGCATCCTTGTTCTCCTACACATTAGCTCTCACTTAGACGCAGAATCAAATTCACAAGAACTTGTAATTCTCGTTCCCTCAACTGATGTGACCCTCTTTCTCTAAGAAGGTTGTGCGCCATATGGCAAATTCTGGCATGTGTTCGGTACGCAAATCATTTTCGTGCTGCTTTTGCAACGTTCACAACGAAACAGTTAAAGCCAGAATTTAAGAGAAGTGTTAGGCATTCAATGATACTTGAAAGCTTGAATGAGCTTTCGTATGGATTAAGTAATTAAAAGGTCAACGCTCAATATTTAGTGAAATGGCCTTCTTTCACTTGTTCGAAAACAAATATGATACATGAAGGGTTTTTCGTGCTCTTATGTTATCCTAAGTTACAAGGCATCCAGATTGAGTTCTATTCGATTGAAACATGTTCTATAAAAATATATATGAAACGGAATCTCACATCAAGATCCTAAATTGACATGTTTTCATGGGCTTCACTTCTATCATAGATTCAGTCTTATGAGAAGTTTACACTGCTATATGACTCATCAATTATCTGCAAGTGTACGTTTAAGCGTCCTCTCCAATAGAGCCTTTATTAATTATCGATCGAGTTATAGCAAACACGACTAGACCAGCCATCGTGCATATATAACAGAGCTGGCATAGCGAATAGTTATATGTTCCTGAGTTACTGATCTGTCATCACTTGATGTTTATGTTTCACACATGGTTGGATAGCGTTGTGGCCCCAGTATAGATAACTACAGACAAGACATGTTCATCTTGCTAATAAAATGTCAAAAACAGATAAAGTATGTCTGATAATATTTTAGATAAATGAAAAGAAAGTAAATGTCCGATATCTCAGAGATATTTTGATTCATGATTATCAACACTGTCTAAGAAAGGGGACCTGACAGTTCAACTACCATTTATGTAACTTAGATTTGATGGATATTTGTCCTCTTTAAGGGCTTATATGCTTCACCATTGAAATTTATGCTCACTATCCCTCTTGGTCTCCTCCTCCTTCGATCCACCCGTGCCCCTCCGCCGTCCCTGCATTGTCTGTAGTTTTTCCATTTCATTGGTTTAGCATATAATATGTTCTGTCATACTTTCAGTAAAGTGTGTTTTAGATTATGTACCCCAATGTTAAATCTAAATTTGACGGCTGAATGCTTATATGAAGTTATTAACATTTAACACACCTTTTCCAGCAGCAGTTTTCCGGAGTACTGCTTGAGAGGAAATCAAAATCTTTACTTCACTAGCATGAAGTCCCTGAATTTTAACCTTGAGTCTGAAGATGAATCTGAAGTCAGTAGCCAAGTGGCTTCCAATGTATCCATCCAAGAAATTCCTCCAGGTCATTCCAAGGAAACCAATGCCACTTTGTCTGGCCTTACAGACCCGATCAGCCTTCAGAACGACTCGATGCCCATTACTCTTGACCTGACACTTGGTTTCAACAGCAGTGATGCTGAGTTGAATGGTATGGGCCAAACTAGTGGTCATCCTCCAGTAGTATCTAGAGTCTTCTCCTGTAACTACTGTCGGCGAAAATTTTACAGCTCGCAGGCTCTGGGAGGACATCAGAATGCGCACAAGAGAGAGAGGACACTTGCAAAACGGGCTATGCGGATGGGCATGTTATCCGATCGATATGCTAGTTTGGCTTCTCTACCTCTTCACGGATCTGCATTTCGATCTCTAGGAATCGAAGCACATGCTTCCATGCATCAACAAGTTGTACAACAAGAGAGGCCTATACATGGGGTAAGAGGAGGAGCAAGGTTTAATCACGGTTATTACGGGTTGCCACTATATATGGAGGATGATGAAGTAGAAATGTATTGGCCTGGAAGCTTTCGACAAATTGAGGGACATAATGGCAATAATCTGGGGATTCATTCAGGACAAAATTCCAACATAAATATTGTAGCAATGGTTCCACCTCCTCCAAGGACAGATTCCTCCTTGCCTGATCTAAATTTAAAATTATAAATTTATAACAAGATTTCTTATTCGAGTTTCTGTGTCATTTTCTTTTAACTTGTGACTTCAATTATATGTCAAATTGTACAGGGAGATTGAGTATTAGAGATGAACGTCGGATCCTGATTTTCCCTCTACTTTTGACATTTTTTCCAAGTTTATATCCCCCAGTTCATGTATGACTTGATGATGCAATGGATATTAGATTTGCAGTTTGGAATAAAATTGATTCTGATTAGTGTTCTATATTTCATACTCTTGACAGGCTAATTAATTTCTGGGTTTTAATTTGCTTAACTGGTATGGAAAAAAAGATGAAATTCTGGTTAAGAATTCATTACTTCGCAAGTATAATATTTCGTACCTTAGTAGTTGAATTTTTTGACTTCTACAATTTTATGTACTCTGATCCCCAACAAATCAATTACATAGATAATAGATGGATTGCATGAGGTCAAGGAAGGTTACAAGGGAAGATAAATTTTGAATTTCAAGGCACAGTAGCCCATCCAAACCATGTCTTAAGTCTAAAAGAACTATAGCCCTCCGAGGCATAATCCAGTGGTACAAACGATAAGAGTGAGGTTATCTCACGCCTTGCTGGCAGCCGCAGTGTGAGAGTTTGATTCTTGAGACATGGAATCGATCTCCTTATAGGCGCAGTGTACAGGCGGCTCTTGCTTTCTGGCCTGTTGGGGCACAACCCACAATTTACTTCCCTCACAAAACTCTAGGGACTAGGCGATAGGAGCCCTCAAGATTGGAGTTCAACAATTATTTATTTATTTATATAAAAGAACTATACTCTTAGAGTAATTTCAGGAGATTCTGAGTGTATATATACATACACACTTCAACAATAGTCTCTATTTTGACTATCCATTTTACTTTTTTCAATTATCTACATATTTTATTTAACATATATATATATATTATTTTTAATATGTCATTGTCCAGTCAAATTCAAATATGATTTGAATAATTTAAGAAGTAAAATATTGAAATGATAACGTATTAAATGCAATCATTTTCAATTAATAACAAAGAGTGAGCTTGTATCTCTATTTTAAAAAATTAAAATAGAGAATCTATTGAAATTTATTTTTAAGCATTAATTTCGCAAAGTAGAGTGCGTATCATACTTAAAGAGTCTTTTGAAAATACTCTTACATGCAATTAGTTCTCCGAGTTTCAATTCGGAGCGATTAGGCGACTCCATTACCCTTCTTTTCAACCGTATAACAGAAATGACAACGTGGCTGTTAAAAATATGGGATCTCCACATGTTAGGCAAAGTCAGCAAAGTAAATTTCACCACTAGTCACTGAACTTTAGCCTTAATTGTAATCAGATCGCTGAACTTTTATTTCTAGGCAATCACAACACTGATCTTTAATTTCAAGATTCTGATAAAATACTTTTTAACTTTTAATCCTATTTTAATTATATTAAGACCATTAAATAAATAACATAATGCATACCACACAAATAAAATCATAAATACTATAAACAGTAATTATAGAATTAATGATTTTAGTTGCTCAGTATTCATTATTTTATTTATTTAATGATCTTAAAATAATATTAAAAAACACTATTTTTCAGTGTTGTGATTTTGCACATGAAATTCGTAGTGCCATGCTATTATTAATTTATGGAAAAAGCTATTTGTACAACATTTCTTTTACAATTCTTTTCACAGCCTCCTCATAAAGGTGGGGTCCGCGATTATCTTAATTGCTGACCTCACCTATTGCATGTGCATGCGCGCTGTAGATCATGTTATGAAATTGATGTACTCATAGCATGTTTCTTAATTTATTCATATGGGGATGGTAAAATTTATTTTGCTGACTCGGCAGCAATCATGAAGATTCCGTTACTTTTAACGGTCACATCATCAATTTTTTAAGTGGTTGAATGAAATGTTAATGGAGTGACTAATTGCTTGCAAATTAAAGTAGAATATTGTGATTATTTCGAATAAAAATTTAGGGCATGTTCGATAGTGAATTTAAGAATCAATTTTTTGAAACTTAAACAAAAAAGTGGGGCTTAATTGTGAATGAAGAAGTTAAAAATGACGACTGACTTAATGAAGTAACAATAAAAAAATTGATTTTTTTGGATGAAAAGCTAGAAACAAATGGGGGCTTAATAACCTGATCACAAGTAAGCGGGTGAAATTTACCCTACTCAAAAGGTTAAACCCTAACATTAAGGGTCCTCCACCACCCTTACCCTGGAGTATCGTGAGGGAGGTAAATCGCAGGTTTATGCCTCCAAGGGTACAGGGTGGTAAATTTACCCTACTCGATCGTACATAATGAGCGGACCATAGTGATTGAAAGCTTCCTTGTTTTTATGATTAATTAAATGAACAATACAATTTATGTATGTGGGGAGTTACCTACTATAATATTGTGCCGAGAAAATTTAAATGTTAATTGATTTTTACGGGATTCGTGTGGAGATTTCTTACCTATGTAAAGAAAATTATTATCTCAGAAGTTGAGCAACCTGGAGGAGTAGCTACCACAGTAAGCTAGCGTAGGCCCACAATTAATTAATTAATGTGGAAATTACGGAATACCCTAGAGTTAAAATCTAGGATTCTTAAATCAGATGGGATGTTTGTCTTTTCAAAAATCAGAGAGTTGAAAAATTAGATATATTATGCCCTCGTTTGGCTCCCATTATAGTAAATTTCATTACATTTTATTTTTTTCTCTCCTATTTTCAACCACACAATCTTTCATAAAATAATGTTACACGTAAATCGAAATTTTTTTACTTCTTTTTTAACCACTCATTTTTAAAAATAAAATAAAATTATTCCATCCATTTTTACTTTTAGAAAATGGGGGCCAAACGTGGGCTATATATATATATATATATTATATTTTTAATATACACTTTAACAACTGTATATCCCGTGATTTAAGACTTTTAATTTTAGAAAACTTCATAACTTCCCTTTATTTCAAAACCTCCCCCACGTTTCTTCTTCATAAATCTCCCCACGTCTCTTCTTCGCAAACCCACGACCGTAAGGAGCTTTTCGTCGACGTCATTACACCTCCGGTGAAATCCCAGCCACAACCAACACCCACATTATTCCAGAAATTGCATAACCACCAATCTATAAATATTATCATTACGTGAAGGAAAGAACTGAGAACCCAGAGCATAAATGACTCATTCAAGGAGCGAACACCGAGAGAAGAACGTAACAGATGCCTCAGGTAGAAGAGGTAAGAGAAAGGTGGATGAAACACATAAAGTATCCCCGTCTAAAACGCCCAAATCCACGGGGTCAGACTCGAAATCTTCCGCGAAGAATGCATTTCCGTTTGTTCAGTTTTTAATTCAATTGAATCATATGTACGAACCCTAAAATTGATGGGTGATGAGTATTTGATTATGTTTTTTCCAATTTGTGAAATATGCTCTATTCAATTTTTGAGATTTTGAGTTGAATGCTTCAATCTGTTGGTTAAAAATTATTCAATATGGTGAAGTTGGGCTTCTATGGGATTTTGTGGGAGGTTTGTTGAATGGAATTCATGGATGGGTTTCGAAGTTATGGAAACTCATATTTGGGTTGTTAGTGGCTTTATTTTTCATATGATGCGTAGATTGATTTTACATTTCTTAAACTAATGACCTAAATGGCATGTTTGACCATTGAATTAGTACTGTCCTTATTTGATTTACAAATTACTAATGACCTAAATAGCATGTTTGTGACATGCCAACCTATCCGTGACCAAATCCTTTACTTCTTCTGTGACCATTATGCATCTTTAGAGGCTGTGACCTCTGTAATACGTAATTTAATTTTGTGTGATTCATGCAGTAGTAATGTTCTCATATTTGTGACCTGTCAATCCATATGTGACCAACCCCGTTCTTTCTTATGTGACTAATATGCATCTTTGGAGCTTGTGACCTATAAATAGTGGCTTTGTTTTTGTCTTAATTCTGAATTAGTAGTGTAATCAATTATGCCGTTGTGATTTGTCTATACATATGTGACAATTTTTACTTCTTTTCTGACCAATATGCAGGTATGGAAGTATATTGTACCAGACATGATGTTTTTTTTCCAGACTTGACTGTGACATTTACATGATTAAATATGCCGCGTACATGCTACACAATGATATAAGCTCCATGTCCATGAATTTTGAAGCGGTAGAGCATGCTTGGATATAGCATTGTTGTTATTTAAACACCGGGAAATCAAAAAGGCAACGAAGAAGTGTAGCAATCTGGGAAAGAGAGTATCATCATAGAGTGATTGAATATTGCTGTCTGCATATAATTCTGAAGTTGTAATATATGGAATCTGGAATCTTTTTGGATACTACTTTGTAATAACTCCGTATTTTTCATTTTGGAATTTAAATAGTTTGGAACTTTGCGTTCATGGGATTGCTTGAGTATTTACTTTATATTGCTTCGAAGTCAATTATTGTGTTTCATAGTACAAATATATCAAATATTACAAAGTTGTGATCAGTCACATTAATTTTATATAGGTCACATATGCTTGTATATAAGTCACATATCAGTTTTATACATGTCACAAGTGTGTTTTTACAAAACAGAGGTTAAGAACCCACAGTCACAGCACATCTCACAGAATTTAAAGTGGTCACACCACATGTTACAGAGACTTTTGTACCAATCACAGATTAGTTTGTAGAAAAGTCACGGGTTGTTGTACAGGTCACAGATGCTTGTACAATGGTTACATGTCACAGGTAGATTTTCAGATGTGGCACATTACAGACACATATCACAAATAGCATAGGTCACAGATTCTTTTTAAAAAAGTCACAGGTTACTGTATACTGTAACAGCGCAGCTCACAGAGGATTGTATAATGATCACATATCCTTTTTATGCAGGTTACAATTGCTTGTGAAATGATCACAACATGTCACAAACAGATTTTCACATTTGACACACTAGCGCACAGGTCACAGATTCGTTTTAGACAATCACATGTTATTGTATAGGTCATAGGTGCTTGTGTTATGAAAAAGCCACATTATACCAACAGGTAACAAAGGTCACATGTTACAGTTTCGTTTGAAAAAGCTAACAGGGTAATGTTTATAGGCAGATCACAGGTCACAGTTGACTTTAATGTGATCACAACAAAGGTCACATACAGATTTTCACATTTGACACAATATACCAACATGTCAGAGATAGATGCACAAGTCACAGGTTGATATAGAGGTCATGCACAGGTCACATGTTCGTTTTAGTAGTCATAGGTTATTGTGCAGGTAACAAATGCTTATATAATGGTTACAATACATGTCACAAACAAATTTTCAGATCTGACAAATTATACCAACATGTAACAGACAACACGGGTCACAGTTTTGTTTTAAAAAAAGACATAGGTTAATTTTCACGATCATAGATGAGTTTACTATGATCACTACACAGTTCTTTACATTTCAAATGTATATGAATAATGAATAAAAAAAATGAACAAATCATGGCATTATTCATTAAAATAGTGAATTTAGAAATTAAAATGGTGAATTCAACGTCGAATCATTTAAAATTCCCATTGAATTCAGAAACTGAACGTGATTACGTGATTTTAGTGTTCTGATTATGTAAATTCAGAAATTGAACTTCGAATCATGGAATTCATTGAATTACAATTACATACCCGATTAAAATCAAATTTTGGATTTCAATAAAGATTGATGCGGTCGAATCTGTTTCATGAATTAACCTATTGTTTTGATATAATGCAAAGGTAATATTCGAACTGTGACCTGAATTGTGTGATTATTCTCACTTCAGAAAGTTCCGGCGATTGTAGATTGCAAATTCAAATTCCCGTGGCTTATGGAGATGAATTAGGGATGTGATTTTGTTATTTTAGGTAGGTGAATTTGTTATTTTAGAGAGTCCAGATATTGATGGTAAGTTGCCGCTATATATATATATATATATTAGAAACTTCAAACTTGATTCCTTATTTTTGAAATGTACTATATTTATACTCTGGGTTATGAATTTTTCCCTTAATTAATTCCATTAATTATAGTGTTTAACCTACCCCATTTAGCCTTGAGCCCTATTTTGAGGAAAAAAAATATATTTTGATACAGTAATTTTTGAAAAATGTATGGTTAAAATATAAATAAATAATTTGAGTTATGTGTAAAATTATTTTATTAAAGAAATTGTGGTTGAAATGAATTACGAAAAAAAAATGAATATTTGATAAATTGGGGATCAAACAATGTAATCGGAACTGTTGAGCATTTTTATGGGTCTTTATAATATGGTAAAACTATAATTAATATTTAAAGAATAATGTTACTTGTACATAATAGTATAAAGATTGGTCTACATGACGATAATGTTGATGGTATAATTGACTTTATTTTATTTTGTTCTCTTATTTTTCTGTTTCTCTATCCTTTTATATATCATTAATCTGTAAATCAATTTGTTGGAATATGACCTAAATTCCTTTTGGATATTGGTGTTTTGGATTAAGAGGCATTGAAGAATTCTAACGATAAACAAAGGAGAAGAAGAAGTCGCCGCATTTTGGCTTCCCAAGCGCTCATCTCCAGCTTGAGCGCTTAGAATAGGGAGTTCATCGCTAGCCTACCACAAGGTTGGGCGCTCGAGCCCTGGTTGTATCAGGCCTACTGCCCATTTTTCATTCTGATACGATTTTAGGTTTTCATTCTATCTATAAAATCATTGTTAATGATTTTGTTTCGCGCGGGTTAGTCGCTAACAATTAAAAGGGATCAGACGATTGTATAAGGGACAAATCTCTTGAGACAAAGTCTCAAAAAGGGGTGTTCTTTTATTGGCGATGACTTTACAATTGGAAATCAAAAACAAAATGCCTCCAAGGGGCGCAAGCACACAAGTTACTGAAAAAATGTTTAAATCTAAGCTAAGGAATTTAAAATTACATGTTCTCTGTTCGAGAGTTTTTGATTCGGTCATTTGCTCTATGTCTTTTCTCCCTTTTATACTCCATGGATGATCTCTTTGTGATCAACCGCCTAAAAACTACTTGATCGTTCTACAACTGCCCACTTTCCTCGTAATGGCCAACTTGTCATGAAAACTGCATTTTTTAACTGCTGCCATTACTCTTCGTCGTTCAACCGTTTTCGATTGAATTCCTTGAATCGTGGAACGTGATAGGGCTGCTTTAATAACTGCTTTGATAACTGCACTTCTTGATAACCACAACGCTTTATGTTCGCTAAGACCTTGGGCGACTTGAAGATTTGGGCGAGAATAGAGTAACAGCTCTGGGCGACTGCATGGCACTCCATTCGCTCAGATTCTGGGCGACTTGCAAACTTGGGC